TTGTAACCTGATGGGTGAGAGGTGTGTAACCAGATGGGTGAGAGGTGTGCAACCTGATGGCTGAGAGGTGTGTAACCAGATGGGTGAGAGGCGTGTAACCTGTTGGATGAGGTTTAACCTGATGGGTGAGAGGTGTGTAACCTGATGGGTGAGAGGTGTGTAACCAGATGAATGAGAAGTGTGTAACCTGGTGGGTGAGAGGTGTGTAACCTGATGGGTGAGAGGTGTGTAACCAGATGGATGAGAAGTGTGTAACCTGGTGGGTGAGAGGCGTGTAACCAGATGGGTAAGAGGTGTGCAACCAGATGGGTGAGAGGTGTGCAACCTGATGGGTGAGAGGTGTGTAACCAGATGGGTGAGAGGTGTGTAACCTGATGGGTGAGAGATGTGTAACCTGATGGGTGAGAGGTAACCTGATGGGTGAGAGGTGTGTAACCTGATGGGTGAGAGGTGTGTAACCTGATGGGTGAGAGGTGTGTAACCTGATGGGTGAGAGGTGTCTAACATGATGGGTGAGAGGTGTGTAACCTGATGGGTAAGAGGTGTGTAACCTGATGGGTGAGAGGTGTGTGGCCTGATGGGTGAGAGGTGTGTAACCTGATGGGTGAGAGGTGTGTAACCTGATGGGTGAGAGATGTGTAACCTGATGGGTGAGAGGTAACCTGATGGGTGAGAGGTAACCTGATGGGTGAGAGGTGTGTAACCAGATGGGTGAGAGGTGTGTAACCTGATGGGTGAGAGATGTGTAACCTGATGGGTGAGAGGTAACCTGATGGGTGAGAGGTGTGTAACCTGATGGGTGAGAGGTGTGTAACCTGATGGGTGAGAGATGTGTAACCTGATGGGTGAGAGGTAACCTGATGGGTGAGAGGTAACCTGATGGGTGAGAGGTGTGTAACCAGATGGGTGAGAGGTGTGTAACCTGATGGGTGAGAGATGTGTAACCTGATGGGTGAGAGGTAACCTGATGGGTGAGAGGTGTGTAACCTGATGGGTGAGAGGTGTGTAACCTGATGGGTGAGAGGTGTGTAACCTGATGGGTGAGAGGTGTGTAACCTGATGGGTGAGAGGTGTGTAACCTGATGGGTGAGAGAGTGTCTAACCTGATGGGTAGAGAGTGTGTAACCTGATGGGTGAGAGGTGTGTGGCCTGATGGGTGAGAGGTGTGTAACCTGATGGGTGAGAGGTGTGTAACCTGATGGGTGAGAGGTGTGTGGCCTGATGGGTGAGAGGTGTGTAACCTAAAGGGTGAGAGGTGTCTAACATGATGGGTGAGAGGTGTGTAATCTGATGGGTGAGAGGTGTGTAACCTGATGGGTGAGAGGTGTGTGGCCTGATGGGTGAGAGGTGTGTAACCTAAAGGGTGAGAGGTGTCTAACATGATGGGTGAGAGGTGTGTAATCTGATGGGTGAGAGGTGTGTAACCTGATGGATGAGATGAATGATAATTGAAAGTTAAATGTGGTGTGTCATCGCCGTAGAGTTTTGTTGAGAGTTAAGCTTAAGTGAACTCTGGTGTGCCATTACCAGAGAGTTATAATCAGAATTAAACGGAATGATCAGGATAAAAACAGTGTCCTCTCAGCAGCTGTCAGCCTGGGTAATATCAGGAGAATCTACTCTTATGTATTACCTCACTCATTCATGTACAATATTACCAGCTGTGAGCTTACTCTCTCACCTCACAGACTTCAATCACCAGCTGTGACCCCACTTTTTCATTCCACAGCCACAGCTTTCATGGTGAGTTAAGAGAAGAGGAGACAGTAAGGACACTGTTGGTGCCGCTAATACAATCATGTCCCGTGGCCTGGTGGCAAAAGCTCTCGCTTCACACGGCGAGGGCCCGGGTTCGATTCCCGGAGAAGGGGTGGAAACATCGGACGTGTTTCCTTACACCGGTTGTATATGTTTACCCATCAATAAAATGGGTACCTGGGTGTTAGTCGACTGGTGTGGGTCGGATCCTGGGACAAAACTGACCTAATTTGCCCGAAATGCTCTGCATAAAAAAGCGGCTTTCTATATAGTAGTATGTCATTGATGTTAGGTAGGACTGTATACCTTGTACATGTTCTTGTAGTAAATAAAGATATATTATTATAGTGCTGTGTCCTACACATTATATATATATATATATTTTATAATATATATATATATATATATAAATATATATATATATATATATATATATATATATATATATATATATATATATATATATATATATATATTATTTATATATTATATACTAGCTTATTTTTAAGCTAAGTACTGTTATTTTTCCTTAGCTCACATAAAAGCTAAGATCTGTTAACGTACCTCAGGTGGGTTCAAAGCCCCAGCCTTTCTAAGGTAGATTATCACCCTACTTAAGCTACCACTCACACCCGTCGCTTAACATCCAGGTACCTGCTTACTGCTAGGTGAACAAGAAACCGTGCCCCCTTCCTCCGATCGCTTCCACTCACCCTTGGATCAAACCCACGTCCTCAGGTTATGATTTTTGAAACCTCTACAAGCAGTTGTATCCTGCCAGCGCGCTCTCAGGCTCAGGCACCTAGAATAAAGCCTTATCAGACTATCCACACATACACTGTCCTCGTAGTAAAATGTTTCAGAATTGACTGCCTGAACAAGGAAGCTGTTGGAACTAACAGGTCGCACTGCTTGCCAGCCAAGACAGGCTGCTAGATCTGGTACTGTTGGCAGGTATTGATCAGGTATTGCGCGCGCGCGCTTGTGTGTGTGTGTGTGTGTGTGTGTGTGTGTGTGTGCTGGAATAGCTCTGATACAACAAGCACCTTACCTATGTATGTGTGTGTGTGTGTGTGTGTGTGTGTGTGTGTGTGTGTGTGTGTGTGTGTGTGTGTGTGTGTGTGTGGTGTGTGTGTGTGTGTGTATGTGTGTGTGTGTGTGGTGTGTGTGTGTATGTGTGTTGTGGTGTGTGTGTGTGTGTTGTGTGTGTGTGAGTTGTGTGTGTGTGTGTGTGTGTGTGTGTGTGTGTGTGTGTGTGTGTGTGCTGTTCCAGCACACACACACACACACACACACACACACCCCCCTTACCTGTGGAACAATTTACAATTGGTTTAAGTCCCCCCTTTCCCTCCACCATCTGTATTTTTCGAATTTTTAAAAACGAATTATGTGTATGTTAAACTGAGCAAAAGTGTTTGGAGGTAAATTGTGTGGTGTGTGTGGTGGTGTGTGTGTGTGCTGGTGGTGTTTGTGCTTGTGTGGATTAGTGCCACCTACCTGTGCTGTAGTAATGTTTGTTGCTGTGAAACAATGTAGTTGTGGTCCTTGGTGGATGTGGTAGTGTGTGTGTGGTGTGTGTGTGGTGTGGTGTGTGGTGTGGGTGTGTGTGGTGTGTGTGTGGTGTGTGTGTGGGGTAGTGTGTGTTGGGTGTGTGTGGTGTGTGTGGTGTGTGGTGTGGTGTGGGTGGTGGGGTTTTGGTGGTGTGTGGGTGTGGTGTGTGTGGTGGTGTGTGTGGTGTGTGTGTGTGTTGTGGTGTGTGTGGTGGTGTGTGGTGGTGTGGGGTGTGTGTGTGGTGGTGTGTGTGGTGTGTGTGGTGTGTTGTGTGTGTGTGTGGTGTGTGTGGTGGTGTGTGGGGTGTGTTGTGGTGTGGGGTGGTGTGTGTGTGGTGTGTGTGTGGTGGTGTGTGTGGTGTGTGTGGTGTGTGTGGTGTGTGGGTGTGTGTGGGTGTTGTGGTTGGTGTGAAATGTGTGGTGGATGTTGTGTGTGGTGTGGTGGTGTGTGTGTGGTGGTGTGTGTGGTGTGTGGTGGTGTGTGTTGGTGGTGTGTGGGGTGTGGTGTGTGTGTGGTGTGTGGGTGGTGGTGTGTGGTGGTGGTGTGTGGTGGTGTGTGGTGGTGTGGTGTTGGGGTGTGTGTGGTGTGTGTGTGGTGGTGTGTGGTGTGTGTGGTGTGTGGTGTGTGTGTGTGGTGGTGTGTGGTGGTGTGGTGGTGTGTGTGGTGTGTGGTGGTGTGGTGGTGTTGTGTGTGTGTGGTGTGTGTGGTGGGTGTGGTGTGTGGTGTGGTGGTGTGGTGGTGTTGTGGTGGTGTGTGTGTGGTGTGTGGTGTGTGGGGGTGTGTGGTTGTGTGTGGTGGTGTGTGGTGTGTGTTGTGGTGGTTGGTGTGTGTGGTTGTGTGGGGTTGTGGTGTGTGGTTGTGTGTGTGGTGGTGTGTGTGGGTGTGGTGGTGTGTGGTGGTGTGTGTGGTGTGTGGTGGTGTGTGTGTGGTGGTGGGTGGTGTGTGTGGGGGTGTGTGGGTGGGTGTGGTGGTGGTGTGTGGTGGTGGGGTGGTGTGGTGTGTGTGGTGTGTGGTGGTGTGTGGGTGTGGTGTGGTGTGTGGGTGGTGGTGTGTGGTGGGTTGTGGTGGTGGTGTGTGTGGTGTGTGGTGGTGTGTGTGTGTGTGGTGGTGTGTGGTGGTGTGTGGTGTGTGGTGGTGTGGGGTGGGTGTGGTGTGTTGGTGGTGTGGTGGTGGTGTTGTGTGGTGGTGTGGTGGTGTGTGTGGGTGGGTGGTGGTGGTGTGTGGTGGTGGTGGTGTGGTGTGGTGGTGGTGGGGTGTGTGGTGGTGGTGTGGTGGTGTGTGGTGGTGTGTGGTGGTGTGTGGTGGTGTGTGGTGGTGTGTGGTGTGGTGGGTGTGGTGGTGGTGGTGGTGTGGTGTGTGTGTGGTGTTTGTGGTGGTGTGTGGTGGTGTGTGGCGGTGTGTGGTGGTGTGTGTGTGGTGGTGTGTGGTGGTGTGTGGTGGTGTGTGGTGGTGTGTGGTGGTGTGTGTGGTGGTGTGTGGTGGTGTGTGTGGTGGTGTGTGGTGGTGTGTGAATGGTAGAGGTGGCGTTGGTGCTGATGGTTCTGGTGAAGATGCAGGTGATGGTGCTGGTGATGTACAAACATGGTCACTGCCTCTCTCTCTCTCTCCCTCTCCACGCCCCACTTACCGCCTGTCTCTCTCTCTCTCTCTCTCACCCCGCAGACATACCACCCGGGCTGGTGCTACAAATGGATCTGGTCAACTCCGGCTTGGAGGTCATCGCTGACGATGACTTCGGAGACACCAGAGTGGGCAACCTGCGACTCATGTCCAACAACTTGCGACTTATCGGAGACAAGGCGTTCAGGTGAGTGGGGTGGAATAGGAGCCCGGGGCGTTCAGGTGAGTGGGGTAGAAAAGGAGGGGCGTTCAGGTGAGTGGGGTGGAATAGGAGGGGCGTTCAAGTGAGTGGGGTGGAATACGGGGGCGGTTCAGGTGAGTGGGGCGGAGGAGGGGTCGTTCAGGTGAGTGGGGTGGAGGAGGGGCGTTCAGGTGAGTGGGGCGGATGAGGGGCGTTCAGGTGAGTGGGGCGGAGGAGGGGCGTTCAGGTGAGTGGGGTGGAGGAGGGGCGTTCAGGTGAGTGGGGCGGAGGAGGGGCGTTCAGTGAGTGGGGGGAGGGGCGTACAGGTGAGTGGGGCGGAGGAGGGCGTTCAGGTGAGTGGGGCGGAGGAGGGCCCGTTCAGGTGAGTGGGGTGGAGGAGGGGCGTTCAGGTGAGGGGTGGAGGGGCTTCAGGTGGTGGGGCGGAGGAGGGGCGTTCAGGTGAGTGTGGGCGGAGAGGGGCGTTCAGGTGAGTGGGCGGAGGAGGGGCGTTCAGGTGAGTGGGGCGGACGGAGGGGCGTTCAGGTGAGTGGGGCGGAGGAGGGGCGTTCAGGTGAGTGGGGCGGAGGAGGGGCGTTCAGGTGAGTGGGGGGAGGAGGGGCGTTCAGGTGAGTGGGCGGAGGAGGGGCGTTCAGGTGAGTGGGGTGGAGGGGGGCGTTCAGGTGAGTGGGGCGGAGGAGGGGCGTTCAGGTGAGTGGGGCGGAGGAGGGGCGTTCAGGTGAGTGGGGTGGAAGAGGGGTGTTCAGGTGAGAGGGGAATAAATAGTGACGCTCTCTCTCTCTCTCTCTCTCTCTCTCTCTCTCTCTCTCTCTCTCTCTCTCTCTCTCTCTCTCTCTCTCTTTTACAACCCTTTAATAGTTGTAACAAACGACTATTTGGAGGAGAAACAGGAAGAGAAGAAGGAGAGACAGGGAGAAACAGTGTAAGAGAGACAGACACAGATGATGGAAAGAGACACAAATGTGATAACAAAAAAGTCTGGAGTCTCAAAAAGTAAGAAAGACGGCGGGGAGAAGATAGATATAGATAGATAGATAGATAGATAGAGAGAGAGAGAGAGAGAGAGAGAGAGAGAGAGAGAGAGAGAGAAGAGAGAGAAGGAGAGAGAGAGAGAGGAGAGAGAGCCATTCATTTGTCACGAGAACAACACTAGAATAATTAGATAGTGGTTGTCTACAAACTCGGTGTGTGTGTGTATGTGTGGTGTGTGTGTATGTGTGTGTGTGTGTGTGTGTGTGTGTGTGTGTTGTGTGTGTGTGTGTGTTGTGTTTTGTGTGTGTGTGTGTGTGTGTGTGAGAGGAGAGAGAGAGAAGAGAGAGAGAGAGAGAGAGAGAGAGAGAGAGAGAGACTGAGAGATGGAGGCAGAAACAGAGACAGACAGAAAGAGACAGTGAGAGAGAGACACAAAAGAGTAAAACTCAAGCATCACACACAACGGGAGCAAACACAGAGCCGGATGTAAGGGACAGAATCATAGATCTATCCTTGCATTCGGCTCATAAAAATATTTACCTCTCTCGGTAAATATTCTTCCTCTCTCGAGGAAGAATATTTACCGAGAGAGGCTCTAGGTGGGCGCTGGTGCACCGAGGATAGCCGGTTGTAACCCAGGATCCCGCCAGGTTTCTCTCGTTTAGCCGGACGACGCAACCCAGGCAACTCTCACGCACCTGATATAAAAGCCAATTAATAAGCACTCTGGCTTGCCGGCTTGGTACTGAGTGGCTTGGCACTCACACACACACTCACTTATGCTAGAATTCTGAGGTGCCTATCCTCAATTTTCAGAGATCAGTCCCTCCCTGTGTGAGGTGCCAGAGGCTTAGCTCTGTAGAGCTTTATCAAGTCATATTTGGCTTTCTGTAGAGCTTTGCTGTGTAAAGCTTCATCAAGTCATGTTTGGCTCTATGTAAAGCTATATCAAGTCATGTTTGGCTCTATGTTGAGCTTTATCAAGTCAGTATTTGGCTCTGTATAAAGCTTTATGAAATCTGGCTCTCTATAGAGCTTTATCAAGTCATGTTTGGTTTTCAGTCTGTTTGGAGCTTTATCGTCATGTTTGGCACTATCTAGTGCCAAACATGACGATAACATCAAACATCAAGCATGTTTGACTCTGCTTAGAGCTTCATCAAGTCATGTTTGACTCTGTCTAGAACTTCATCAAGTCAGGCGGGCGTACGTGTGCTTGTACAGTACGTACATGACCGCGTACAAGAGCAGGTGCTACTGTACGCCGTAATCAGGCACTAAACATAACATTACACTTCCTCTCTCTGTATATATTTTTCGCCTCATTTCTCAATCTCTCTCTCCTCTCTCCCTCCCTCTCTTTCGTTCGCTTTTCTTCTTTCTTTCGCCCGAGAGCACAATGGTGTGGAGCTCCGAGCGTGGAAAGAATGGCGTAACCTTCAGCGTATCATTCTGTTGGGGAAAAATTCGTAAAATCTAGTTTTGTGTTACACTGTAAGGAACGCCTCTACCTGCCTCTCTCTCTCTCTCTCTCTCTCTCTTCTCTCTCTCTCTCTCTCTCTCTCTCTCTCTCTCTCTCTCTCTCTTCATCTCTCTCTCTCTCTCTCTCTCTCTCTCTCTCTCTCTCTCTCTCTCTCTCTCTCTCTCCCTCTCCCGCTTCCAGCACTGGAATCCAAAGCCAATACGCTGGAAGACCACCAATGAAAGACCTTCCAGATTTCCAGTAGCAGCTTTCCCCTCCTCCCAGACACTCAGACCTTAGCTCTCCAGGAACTCATTAAGAAACTCCAACACCTCCAGGCCAAGCCAGCTTATAATCACTGGCTTGCCAGAGAGGGAGGTAGAGTCGCTTCCGATGGCATTGCAAGGGTAAGGGCGGCTTCTACTGGCTTTCCAGGAGAAAGGGTTGCTTTTCAGGGGAAAGACTGACTTTCCACTGGCTTTCCAGGGGGAAGGGTGGCTTTTCAGGGGTAACGGTGGCTTCCACCGGCTTTTCAGGCGAAAGAGTGACTTTCCAGCGACTTTCACGTAGCTCTCCTCAGTGCTGATGCAGAACTGGGAGAGAGAGTGCCTTGAGAGGCTTGTTGATTTGTGCTGTGTGGGGGGGTCAAGTGGTGGCTGTGATTTGTATCTTGTTCTATAAGGGGTCGACAAGGTCTAGTGGATTTGTGCAGTGGCGACTGATGCTTTGATTTGTGCATTTGTGGCGCATGGAGAACCACTAAAGGCGTTTATTTGTAGTTCTGAGCGAAATTATTATTATTATTATTATTATTATTATTATTATTATTATTATTATTATTATTATTATTATTATTATTATCACCATCATCACAGTTCTACATATTACCACATCACCAATTGTATTTTCTCCTCTTTTCAAAATTTACAGTAATAAAGATTCTGAAAGGTCATTATTATTTACAGTAATAAAGATTCTGGTAGTTCATTATTATGCTTCTTTAAAATATTACTAGAGTTTGTCTGCTGCTTTATCTTCGTTTATGTTTTTTTCTGTATTTTTCTCTATTACTCGGATTAATGAGGCAGTGTATCATGCTGGGATTTTCTGTGCCTGAGTGTGTGTGTGTGTGTGTGTGTGTGTGTGTGTGTGTGTGTGTGTGTGTGTGTGTGTGTGTGTGTGTGTGTTGTGTGTGTGTGTGTGTGTGTGTACTCACCTAGTTGTACTCACCTAGTTGAGGTTGCAGGGGTCGATCCCAAGCTCCTGGCCCCGCCTCTTCACTGGTCGCCACTAGGTCACTCTCCCTGAACTATGAGCTTTATCGTACCTCTGCTTAAAGCTATGTATGGATCCTGCCTCCACTACATCTCTTCCTAAACTATTCCACTTCCTGACTACTATGTGGCTAAAGAAATACTTCCTAACATCCCTGTGATTCATCTGTGTCTTCAGCTTCCAACTGTGTCCCCTTGTTGCTGTGTCCAGTCTCTGGAACATCCTGTCTTTGTCCACCTTTCAATTCCTCTCAGTATTTTGTAAGTCGTTATCATGTCCCCCCTATCTCTCCTGTCCTCCAGTGTCGTCAGGTTGATTTCCCTTAACCTCTCCTCGTAGGACATACCTCTTAGCTCTGGGACTAGTCTTGTTGCAAACCTTTGCACTTTCTCTAGTTTCCTTACATGCTTGGTTAGGTGTAGGTTCCAAACTGTGCTCCATACTCTAATATAGGCCTAATGTACACGGTGTATAGGGTCCTGAACGATTCCTTATCAAGATGTCGAAATGTTGTTCTTAGGTTTGCCAGGCGCCCGTATGATGCAGCAGTTATCTGGTTGATGTTCGCCTCAGGAGATGTACTCGGTGTTATACTCACCCCAAGATCCTTTTCCAAGAGTGAGGTTTGCACTCTCTGGGCCCCCTAGACTGTACTCCGTTTGTGGCCTTCTTTGCCCCCTTCCCAAATCTTCATGATTTTGCACCTGGTGGGGTTGATCTCCAGGAGCCAGTTGCTGGACCAGGCCTGCAGCCTGTCCAGATACATTTGTAATTCTGCCTGGTCCTCGTCTGATTGAATTCTTCTGCAAACCGGGACACTTCGGAGTCTATTCCTTTCGTCATGTCGTTCACATATACCAGAAGCAGCATCGGTCCTAGGACTGACCCCTGTGGAACCCCACTCGTCACAGGCGCTCTGACACCTCGCTACGTACCATGACTCGCTGTTGTCTTCCTGACAGGTATTCCATGATCCATTGGAGTGCCTTTTCTGTTATCCCTGAATGGTCATCCAGCTTTTGCACTAATCTCTTGTGTGGAACTGTGTCAAACGCTTTCTTACAGTCCAAGAATAAGCAATCTACCCACTCCTCTCTCTCTTGTCTTACTGCTGTCACCCTGTCATAGAACACCAGTAGGTTTGTGACAGGATTTCCTGTCCCTGAAACTATGCTGGCTGTCGTTGATAAGCTCATTCCTTTCTAGGTGCTCCACCACTCTTCTCCTGATAATCTTCTTCATGACTATACATGTCAGTGACTGGTCTGTCGTTTAATGC